TCAGAGTTTCTGAACGTCGCTTACAATCTGAATACCTGCATCAATGTGTCAAATTTGAGTAATTTTATATGCCCTGGGACCTAAGTAATTTTTTGCTTTGTGTTCACCATGAGTATATAGGTCTTCGACCTGTCTCTATGGAGTTAGTAGCTTATCATAGTGCTCTCGTATTTGTGTCTTGTGTTTAGTAGTATGGAATCTTTTGTATCCGGATTACTTTCTCACTGATGGGGGGTTTAATATGATTTTTGGTAAGATCTTGGTTTTGTTCTCACTTAATTTAAAATTCTGTGTACAGGCTGAGCTGGCAAAGCACTCGAGGGAGTACTAAACAGTTGTCGATATGCTGAGGGCATCTTCAACAAATGCCGTGGATATGTATCTAATTATCTGTGATGATATACAAATGCTGTATTTATTAACAAAACTTGAGAAAAAGCCTCGTGTAACAATACTGATTCTGGTTCACCAATGCATGGATCCTGTAGAAAACTATCTGCTTTTTGTTGGTTTATTTGATTTACGTAGGCCACTGTTGGTTGTTAACCTCAAGGAGTAGTTTAGTTGGCAACGCTTTCATTTTCTTTGCCGCACATTTTGTTAGTTTACCTTTGAACTTGCTGTGATACTTGAGATCATTTCAGATGCTTTCTATTGAGCTTTCGTTAGAGTTGTTGATGGTTCCCTTTAGGTTTGGATGCTGTTACTTAGCTACCCTACGTTTACTGTGTGTGGTGGGTATAGCGCCTATGGGAGTAGTATAATGAACTGCTAATGCTTGATACAGGCGAGAGAGAAAGAAAGGGAAAATGAAAAATTATACGTTAACCTCTAAATTTTCTAGTTTCCAAATTTTTAACCCCAATATTTTTTATCGACTCAAAATGCTCTTTATCTTAGATAGGGGTATAAATGGAACTGGCCAACCTGAACGTTTTAGTGTCTTGATTGTTTGATTATGTTACCGAATTTAAAATTTTGTTTAAGTTTGGTTTGTTTAATTGATGAATCGAGTTTGAAGGAGTTTTTTTTTTATCGAATTTGAATATTATCAAACATAAAACGCTGTTCAAATTTGATTTTGATTAGTTGATGAATTAAGTTTGATCTTTCGATTGTAATCTTAGATGCTCATTAGAACCTAATTAATTATAAAGTACTCACACTTAGATGGTCCAGGGGCGGCATTTTTCATATTGTTGCTTACCACGTACATTTGAGAGTTATAGAAACTTAGATGCAACGTATAAGGGCAGGCTGTTATTTGCTGTGTTGTTTAACCAATCTATTTTCTTGCAGTCTTTTTTCTCCTTATGTGGTGAATATTGGTTGCTTTTCCTTTTATTTGCTTTAGTCATAGTAAGTATTTGTGTGTCTTCATACACAAACCAATTATCTTGACAGTTGGCACTCAAATTATTTTTTGGAAGCTTTTCTTAGAAATCAATCGATCATATGTTATATTCTTCTCCCTCTTACATTCCAAAGATAGAAAACATAAAAAGAAGTATCCAAATTGCCAGTCTTTTTTGTTCCTTTTTTATGGGGTCTAGATCGCCAGTATGTTGCTCGAATTGACATCTAGGTTGGTAAGAGTGAAAATTTGAGCGGTGGATACAGAAGTTTAACACATTAACTGAATGCGAGCTCCTTCGGCTAGCCAGAATAATCTACGTCCTACAAAGAGTTGGAAATTGGACTCTCATTTTTCACTGTCATCAACTCTTTTCTTGATGATGTTATGATGTCTTCACTTTGCAGCAACATAAACTTGGTTTGTATCCCTCTAGCATGTTCTCCACCTCCTCCAATTGCAAACCTTTGGTTTCAGGTATGAGGAAGAAAATGGCCACAAGTCCAAGAAAGGAGACCACAGCAAACAGAAGGAAAGGTGCCCCCGGAACCAAGTGCTTCTGTCAATGTCAAGAACGTCTCACTCACTAGCAGATTAGAAACCCGATTAGAAATTGCTGCAATTCCACCCCCTATGCCTCTATCTTAATGGGTATATCTCAGAATTTACAATCCAAGGTGCAGTCCCCACTACCCATCCCAGGAGTGTAAAATATAGGGCAAAAAGTAGTGATCCTTAAACTTTCAACTTTGTGTACTTTTAATCCTCCAATTAATAAGTGTGTAAATGTAGTCCTCCAATTAATAAAAATATGTAGTCATAGTCCTTCGGTCTAATTTGGCTGTTAAGATGGACGGGATGATACAAAAATGATAAAAAAAATAATAGCATAATTTCAAAAACCTCCCTTGAGGTTTTTAACAATTTCATTTAGCTCCCTTGAGATTTTAAAAATTACACATACCTCCCTTATCATTTAAAATGACTATACTACCTTTAAATATTCTAATAAAATTTCCTTGTTTGATATGTTTATACTTAGAATGACTTTTAAAATTACTTTTTCATTCTTTTTCCTTCTTATTCCTTTTTTCTAAAAAAAATTTTTGCCAATAAAACTGTAGAATTACCACTATTATCTCTAGTTTCTATTGTAACCAAATGTCTAACTAGTGATTTTTTTTTGATGTGTTAACTTTATATGCAATCCAATATTTTTGTTGATCTTTATTTCTATTTTTGGTATTAAAATTAAGAATAAATCAAAAGAAAATAGCCCAAAATCACTATTAAATTATGATAATCCAACTAATCGAAAAATTCATAAACTCTAAATGAATTATTTCAACAGTTTCTTTTTATCTTATAAATTTAAATTCATAATAAAATACCATCAAAAGTATCATATCATAGTGATAAAATTATTATTATTATAGTTGTTTATCAAATAGTAGGTATGAACATAAAAAATTTGGCATATTTTTATTATAATTATACTAGATAATCTTATAATTGTATAGGGAAATAAATTAAAACTCATTATACAAGGGTATTTTTGGTTATTCATTTAAAAATTTGACCAAGTCAATATTGTTTTAAGGTTTTGTTACTAAAACTATCAAATCAAGAGAAGTAGTTGTAATTTTCCAAACCTTAGGGGAGTTCAGTGAAATTGCTAGTTTTGTAATTATCCCAAAAATAAATGTCATGTGAGCAATCTGTGATGTGTTTCCTGTCCATCTTAACAGCCAAATTGGATGGAAGGACTACAACTACACATTTTTATTAATGGGAGAACTGCGTTTACACACTTATTAGTTGAAGGACTAATAGTGCCCTAAAATAAAATGTGCAATCCTAGGAGTAGAACTGCAAAATATCCGAGTTTGCTCGGACGAGCCTTCAGTGTGCCATGCTCGACGTTCTGCAGGGCATGCGCCTTTCATTGCATCACCGGCCACCAAGCATGCTTTCGGATGAAGCTAATCGATAACTAGAAATCAAAGGAAACAGTCAAATGCTGTGATGCATATATACTTAGTTCTATGGATTGAAGACAATGGTAGGAGTAGGACTTGCATCGACATCAGGGCTTAATTATAGGTCTATTGCGTTTTTATGAGCAGTTGGTAGCTTGGTATTAGTATACCACTAGTCCTCAGTGCTTCTAATAATGAAACAGAACAGAAAACAAGCTTATGTACCTTAGTGATAAAATTTAAGAGCAACTTACTCGGCTAGCTCCATTAGCACAAAATGCACAATCAGAAGATGCCCTCAAGCATGTCATGCAATTCCAAGGCGATGGATTTGAGGCTTTCGTGAAGCTGGGACAGGTATCATTGACACCAAATTGACTGATTCAGAGTGATCGACGAGTGGGGAATGAGATGAAGCTTGTGAAAATAGGTCGGATAAGACCACTAGGCAAGCTATGATCCCAAACATAGAGACTATCATCAATCTCCTCCTTCCAAATTTGTCAACAAAAGGGCACCGAAGCAACTTGTGATGAGAGAAAGTGCCAGAGCTGTCGAATTCAAAGCAAATCCAGCAAGTTGAACTATGGTAGGACTGTAGTACATTACGACAAACTGCTGAGCTACTTGGAATAGTGATGCTCGCATGCAGTCCCCTACGCACCAAAACATTACCCCAGGTACCCTCAAGCTTTGAGAATGTGTCATCACCTATAGACTGTTGTTTTGCTATTTCAGCTTCAATGGAGCATTCCAGAGCCTTCATTTCTGCCTCAACTTCCTCGCCAGGATAAATCTTTGCCAAGATTGACCTTGCTTCCTCTTTCTTGTTCTAATCAAACATTTAATCCAGCAATCCACAATCGCATTATATACGTGACATTAGACCGAGTTTTACTATTTGTGTAGTCACACTACAACGTGGAGTATTATAAATCATCAGTAGATAGAGTTTTTTTTTTAATCTATTTACCTTCCCATAAAGCCATCTAGGTCTAATGGTTTATAAATCATCAAAAATTGTTAGCCTCGAAACCTCTGCGACTAAGGATTTGAAGCTAATTTTAGTGTGTCTTTTGGATTGTTTACTTAGCTATACACAAAAATGAAAGGAAAAAAGAAAAGAAAAGAACAAAAAAAAGGAATTAATTCATCTAGATTGTTCACACTAAGAGCCAAAGTCTGAAATAAACCATTCATGTAGTTCTCTCGCCTGTCTCGTATCATATTGCATCATGGATAGAAATGCGAAACGCCGAAAACGTTATGCAGAAATGCCCCCAGAAAGAAAGGAGAAGCTTTTACGCTGCCAACGGCAGCTAGCGCGCGTCGTTACGCACAAATGCCACAGGAAAAAAGGATGATCTTTTACGCCGTCACAGAGAGGCAAATGCTTCAAAGAAGAAAAACATTCCCCTTCTCTCTGATTCTGTGCCAAACTCCGGCATTTCTAACAGAAAACGTCCAGCTTCCACTCCTCAAACTCCATTAGCTCCTGCAGGAACAGTCCTTAGCATTCCTGTTACTTCTGTGCACTCTGCTTCTAATCAGAGTACTGATCTTCTGATGCGTTAGCAGGTGGAACTCCATATTCTTTAGGAGTTCAGTCAGAAAACGTGTTACCAGGTGTTGAACTAACGCACCTTCTCAGCTCTACAGTTGCTCCATTGGAAAGTGACCAGCATGCTTCCTCTTCTGTTGCCGCAAGTTCCATTCCGTCTGGTTTTCGACAAGGTAGCACTTAACTTTAGTTTTCAGCTTTGCGGCCTTAGTGCCCTTTTCTCATTGTTTATTCCTATTTCTCTCTGCCATTTGCTATTGCAGATTGAACCGTTAAGCTTCTTCTTTTTCCCTCCTGCTTTGTTTTTAAAAAACGCCTCCTGATTGTCTATCTGCCTGTTTTCCCTTCGTCATCTGCATTCGTTTTGTTCATCCCTTATAATTGTAATTGTCTTGCTAGATTCGCATTACTCCCTTCGCCATCCTAATTGTCTTGCTTTCTCCCTTAGCTACAAGCTGTCCCCATCTTCTTACTTTTAAAAAAATATCTTACCTTGTTTTCACTCACAGGGAATGCAGCTTGCTGTGACATTGTCACGGTATGCTCCTGTGTCTACAAAAAACCTGCAGCTCAGTTTGCAGTCTAATTGTGTCCATTTAAATCTCTTATTATTGCCTTTTCACCTTTAGTTCTTGTCCAGCGTATCCATAAAACAGAGACATCAAAACTCTGCCCTTTGTTCCAGGTCAGCGCGAATATCTAGGAAACCTATTCTCCCTCGCTTAGCCAGGATTCCAGATCATTCTTTGATTCTCCCTGATTCTCCGAATTGCCAGTATTGTGGAGCTATACGGTTCCATTTAGAACCTCCTAATTTCTGCTGTTCAAGGGGGAAGTTTCACTGGTCACTGCAGCAATGCCTTATGATCTTCGTCGCCTCTTTATTGGCGATGATGAAGAATGTGACCATTTCAGGAAAAATGCTCGTACGTACAACAACAATGTTTCTTTCACTACTTTTGCTGCAAAGTATGATCCAGAATTGACGAAGAATAAGCATGGTGTTTATACGTTTCGTGTACAAGGCCAGGTTTATCACTTCCTCGATGGTTTGGTATCACATCGTCATAAACCATCGGGTATTCAGTTATACTTTTTTGATACCGATGAGGAGCTTGCCAGGAGACTTGATGCTTCCTCTCGGCTCCGCGCAGACACTCTTAAATTGCTTATGCGCATTTTAGCTGCCAATCCCTATGCCAAATTTTTTAAAGATTTGCGTCATGTTCCTGATCTCGAGCGCCATAGAATTGTTCTTAATTGCAATCCTGCTCTTGATCAGCGTTTGTATAATCTTCCATCCGCTTCTCAAGTAGCCGCTATATGGACCGAGACTGATGATGAATCAGTTGATAAGTCAGTTCATATTCAGGTTTATAGTCACTCCGATCAGAGTCATATGATTAAGCATTACTATGCTTGCTATGACTCTTTACAGTATCCTTTATTATTTCCTCGTGGTGAGTCTGGATGGCACCATGGAATCCAAAGGATTACGTGCGAAAATAGGAAAAGATCCCGTCCTGTTTGTGAAGCTGATATTGCTATTGATCCAGCATCTATCGGTAGTCCATCTGATTTGATTAATCTGGAACAAAGAGGCAAGTATAAACTTAGTTTCTTAGAGGCATGGTCATATTTTTCAAACATATTGTCTATTTCTCCATGTTGTTAATACGTAGTTCCATTTTGTTTCAGCCGCTGATCGTGGCAAGAAACAGAAAACTAACGTCACTGCTAGGGAATACTACTGTTATAGGTTTCAGATGAGACATGATGATGAGTCCATGTTGTTACATGCGCTGAGATTGTTGCAGCAGTATGTTGTTGATATCTACGTTAAGATAGAGACATCTAGGCTTGAATTCCACCGGAAAAAACAGAATACCATACGGACTGAAGCTCTTCAAGGAATAATGGATAGTGTCTCTTTAGGCCAAACGTTAGGTTCTAAAGTTGGCCGGCGAATATATTTACCAGCTACTTTTCTCGGAGGCCCGCGGGATATGAGGCGTAGATATCTTGATGCAATGGCTCTGGTCCAGAAATATGGAAAACCTGACATTTTCTTGACCATGACATGCAATCCCCTGTGGCCAGAAATTAAGGCACATTTAAAGTACAAAGAGAAACCTCAGGACAGGCCTGATCTTTTAGCTAGAGTGTTCAGGGCAAAGTTTGAAATCCTGAAAACAGAGTTGGTTACAAAGAAATTATTTGGAGACGTTGCAGCATATTTTTATTTATTGAATTCCAAAAAAGAGGCTTCCCTCATGCTCACCTACTTATATTGAAACCGCAGTTTAAACCTCTTAATCCAGAGGCCTATGATAAAATTGTTTCTGCTGAACTGCCTGATCGTCAAGAACATCCTCATCTTTATTCTCTAGTTGTAAGGCACATGATTCACGGCCCTTGTGGAAAAATGAACAAAAACAGCCCTTGTATGAAAAACGGTGTTTGCAAAAGTCACTATCCAAAAGGGTATTCTGAACATACGACTCACGGCGAGGATAGCTATCCGAATTATCGTAGGCGAGACGATGGCAAGAAAATCCGAGTCAAAGGCTATGATTTGGATAATAGGTGGGTCATCCCGTATACTCCGTACTTGCTAGCTCTGATTGATTGTCACATCAATGTCGAAATCTGTTCAACCATCAAATTAGTCAAGTATTTATACAAATACATATTTAAAGGCCATGACCTTGTCAACTTCCACATCATAGCTGATGAAACACCTCAGGATATCGATGAGATCAAGGAATTTCAGCGAGGTCGTTGGGTTTCTCCTCCAGAAGCTTTGTGGCGGATTTATGCATTTCGCTTGAATGAAATGACCCCTGCTGTTTACAGTCTTCAGGTTCATCTTCCTGGTCACCAATATGTTTCCTTCAATCAGATTCTGATCTTTCACAACTCTTAGAGAAAATTGACTTCTCCAGAACTATGTTAACTGAGTTCTTTAGAATGAACCGTGTAAACAAAAAAGCTCAGAGCCTCAGATGTTTGTATAGAGATTTTGCTCAGCACTTTGTGTGGACACCTGCTACGAGAAAGTGGACAGAAAGAAGTAAGCATAAGGTTATTGGCAGGTTAGTCACTGTCAAACCAAGCGAAGGGGATAGGTATTATTTAAGACTTCTTCTCTCACATGTTCGCGCTCCTACATCCTTTGATGACTTGTTGACAGTTAATGGATGTAAAATGAATTCGTTTAGAGAGGCTGCTTTAGAGCTTGGCCTCTTAGAATCTGATTCCTATATTGAGGCAACACTTGAAGAAGCTGCTGGTTTTCAGATGCCTTCTTCGCTTAGATTTTTATTTGCTACTTTGCTTTTGCATTGTGCTCCAACAAATCCAAGTCTTTTGTGGGAAAAATTTGAAATGGAGCTTTCTAGAGACTTCGCACGAGCGCAGGTACAGACTCATTGTTCAGCTGCTGAAGTAAGGCGGAAAGTTCTGTTTGATATTAACAAATCGCTCCAGCATATGGGGAGGCATATCAGTGAGTATAAGTTGGTTACAGATTCTATTACTCTCAGCTGTCATGAAAGCATGACCAAGGAAGTAGACAGTGAAATGAATATTGTGGTGTCGTCGGAAGATCTCTTGATAGCTTCTAAGTTAAATGCAGAGCAAAAACATGCTTATGATTTGATATTGCAGTCTGTTTTTTCGTCCAAAGGCCAGAGTTTTTTCATTGATGGTCCAGGGGGACCGGAAAAACGTTTTTGTATCGCTCTCTTCTTGCGACACTTAGATCGCAGGGATATATTGCGATAGCTGTAGCAACTTCAGGAGTTGCAGCATCACTTCTTCCTGGAGGAAGACTGCTCACTCCAGATTTAAAATTCCGTTGGACTTTTCCAGAAATAAAACGTGTCAGTTGAGCAAGCAGAGCAGCATGGCACAGTTAATCATTGAATGTAAGTTATTCTTGTGGGATGAAGCATCAATGGCAAAAAGAGACACTATTCAAGCATTTGACGAATTGTTGAAAGATCTAATGGAGACTAGCGATCCTTTTGGAGGTAAAGTTGTAGTTTTTGGGGGCGATTTTCGCCAAACTCTCCCCGTTATTCAAGGAGCTACCAAGGACCAGCTAATTCAGGCTAGCCTCCTGCATTCTTCATTATGGTCTTGTATGCACAAAATAAAGCTAAAACACAACATGAGGGCTGTCTTAGATCCTGCCTTTTCGCGATTCTTGCTCGCTGTTGGGGAAGGTGCAGAACCTGTTGATGCAGATAACCAGATTTGCTTACCAGGTCATATGGTTATACCATTCCACAATATAAAAGATTCTTTAGACAGGTCCTCTCCATTTCCTGTGCTTCATCGCACATTCCTGTCCTTTTTCATCTGTATTACTTCGTTTATCTTTCACAGATTTCTAACAAAAAAAATTTCGCCCAGGCTGATAGCTTACACGTTTCCAGATTTGAATCTCTACTCATCTAATCCGTATGAGATGATCAGTAGATGTATTTTAACCCCAAAAAACACCTCTGTTGAAGACATCAATGAAATGATGATTCAGAGGTTTCCTGGACAGCTTTTTACTTATACAAGCTCTGACCAAACTGTTGATCAGAGATTCCAGGCAGATTATGAGGACTTTTTGAATTCTCAAAATCCAAAGGGTCTTCCTCCACACAAGCTCATGCTAAAAGAAAGCTGTCCCTTAATCTTGCTCAGAAATCTAAATCCAGCTGAAGGATTGTGCAATGGCACAAGACTTATTTGTCGGCAGCTCTATCTGTGCTGAGATAGCTTTTGGTCAGTATAAAGGGAAAAAGATTTTCATTCCCAGAATCCCATTGCAGACACCTGATAATGAAAAAAATGGGATTCCATTCATCAGAAGACAATTTCCAGTTCGCCTTTGTTTTGCAATGACAATTAACAAGGCTCAAGGCCAAACTCTTGACTATGTTGGTGTATATCTAAAGGAGCCCGTATTTTCTCATGGCCAACTATACGTTGCCTTGTCCAGAGCAAAGACTGCTGATGCAGTTAAAGTCCTCATACTTCCAGGAACTTTTGCTGAAATCAAAACTGACTGCAAAACAAGAAATATTGTGTTTGATGAAATATTGCAGTTGTCTAATTGATCACTTGCACTGTTCGTAGGTAGCTTGCACATTTAAATGTTTTTAGCTTTTGTTTTCAGAACTTATACTTTGATTTTACCTTCCAAACTGAAATCCCTTGCTTATTTACTCTTATTATTGCTAACGAGTGCAGGATGTGCACTATATTATCTATCAATGATGTTGAGGTCGGTATGGAGAAATGGACAGCAAAGGTCACTGTCCAGGAGAAACAGCAAGTTACCTCATCACTTAGCACACCAACTAGGAAACAGAAGTTTATCTTCATTGATTCTGAGGTATTCAGTGCACTTGACCTTCTATTCTCAAAATCTTATGTGATAAACTTAGGACTTTAAACGCTGCTCATTTGTCGACCATCATAATATTTCTTTTCCAGGGATCAAAGGTTGAAGGCATCATATTTAATGCTGATATTGCTATAATGAGCCCTAGAATAGAGGTTTACAAAAAATACCTCATCTCCAATGCTCAGGTCAAAAGAATCCCTGAAAACTTTAGAACCACTGAGCTAGCAGTCCAATGGATAATCACCAGTCGAACAATTATTGAAGAGATTGTAGACAATGAGGATGTTATGGCTGCAAAGTTTACGTATACCAACTTTACGGACTTGGCACAGTACATGGACCGCAAGGACATTTCTGTTGGTCAGTAGCTTTCTTTTTAACCATACTGATGTACCTTGGTTATTATATGCTTTAAGTCTTATTTTTGAATTCCTCTCACTAGATATTATGGGAATTGTTATTGCTGCTTTGGATGAAAAACTGTCACCGTAATTCAAAGGAAGCACGAGTCCAAAAACTAGTTCTTGTTAATGAAGAGTAAGGAATCTTTGCTTTTGTATACAATGACTATCTGGTGTTGCAATTGCAGCCTTTTCCAAACAAAAAAATAATAGTTTTCTGTTTCAAATATGTCAGATTGCAGACACTTATGCTGTCTATGTGGAATGCTTTTATTGACAATGAAGGCTCCAAGATTATTTCGGAAATTCAGAACTATCCTGTTCTTATTGGAAGAAGGCTAAAGGTTCAAAATTATAATGGTGAGTATAACAGTTGCCGGTTACATGTTTTGCCATCTAACCTTTTCTATCTGTTCATTTTTTCAAATCACATTGCTTCCCCTTTTCTTTTTTTAAGGAGTGGCTCTTTCTACTTGGTTTGATTCAGCAATCCTTGTGAATCCACCTGTCCAAGAAGCAAGGGAACTCAAAACTGGTTCTGCTCTTATAGTTTTCAGTATTTGTTGCTTATGGACTTTATATACATTATCTGTTTCTTGACAATCAGAGATACTTACGAGCTGGTGCCACTCTTTTATTTTTCAACCTCGAGTACGCATAAAAAAATGCTCTTTTCCCTGCTTGGCTACCATTTTAATATCCTATACACAGGGCAAGTAGAAATGCCAAATGCCTTGCAGACATTGTTGCAAATTTCAGACTTTGGCTCTTAGTGTGAACAATCTAGATGAATTAATTCCTTTTTTTTTTTGTTCTTTTCTTTTCTTTTTTCCTTTCATTTTTGTGTATAGCTAAGTAAACAATCCAAAAGACACACTACAATTAGCTTCAAATCCTTAGTCGCAGAGGTTTCGAGGCTAACAATTTTTGACGATTTATAAACCATTAGACCTAGATGGCTTTATGGGAAGGTAAATAGATTAAAAAAAACTCTATCTACTGATGATTTATAATACTCCACGTTGTAGTGTGACTACACAAATAGTAAAACTCGGTCTAATGTCACGTATATAATGTGATTGTGGATTGCTGGATTAAATGTTTGATTACAACAAGAAAGAGGAAGCAAGGTCAATCTTGGCAAAGATTTATCCTGGCGAGGAAGTTGAGGCAGAAATGAAGGCTCTGGAATGCTCCATTGAAGCTGAAATAGCTGAACAAGAGTCCATAGGTGATGACACATTCTCAAAGCTTGAGGGTACGTGGGGTAATGTTTTGGTGCGTAGGGGACTGTATGCTGGCATCACTATTCCAAGTAGCTCAGCAATTTGTCGTGATGTACTACAGCCCTACGGCCCCTACCATAGTTCAACTTGCTGGATTTGCTTTGAATTCGACAGCTATGGCACTTTCTCTCATCACAAGTTGCTTCGGTGCCCTTTTGTTGACAAATTTGGAAGGAGGAGATTGATGATAGTCTCTATGTTTGGGATCATAGCTTGCCTAGTGGTCTTATCCGACCTATTTTCACAAGCTTCATCTCATTCCCCACTCGTCGATCACTCTGAATCAGTCAATTTGGTGTCAATGATACCTGTCCCAGCTTCACGAAAGTCTCAAATCCATCGCCTTGGAATTGCATGACATGCTTGAGGGCATCTTCTGATTGTGCATTTTGTGCAAATGGAGCTAGCCGAGTAAGTTGCTCTTAAATTTTATCACTTAGGTACATAAGCTTGTTTTTTGTTCTGTTTCATTATTAGAAGCACTGAGGACTAGTGGTATACTAATACCAAGTTACCAACTGCTCATAAAAATGCAATAGACCTATAATTAAGCCCTGATGTCGATGCAAGTCCTACTCCTACCATTGTCTTCAATCCACAGAACTGAGTATATATGCATCACAGCATTTGACTGTTTCCTTTGATTCCTAGTTATCGATTAGCTTCATCCGAAAGCATGCTTGGTGGCAGGTGATGCAATGAAAGGTGCATGCCCTGCAGAACGTCGAGCATGGCACACTGAAGGCTCGTTCGAGCAAACTCGGATATTTTGCAGTTCTACTCCTAGGATTGCACATTTTATTTTAGGGCACTATTAGTCCTTCAACTAATAAGTGTGTAAACGTAGTTCTCCCATTAATAAAAATGTATAGTTGTAGTCCTTCCATCCAATTTGGCTGTTAAGATGAACGGAAGCACATCACAGATTGCTCACATGACATTTATTTTTGGGATAATTACAAAACTTTCCTAGAGGTTTCTAGCAATTTCACTGAACTCCCCTAAGGTTTGGAAAATTACAATTACTTCTCTTGATTTGATAGTTTTAGTAACAAAACCTTAAAATAATATTGATTTGGTCAAATTTTTAAATGAATACCCAAAAATACCCTTGTGTAATGAGTTTTAATTTACTTTCCTGTACAATTATAAAATTATCTAGTATAATTATAATAAAAATGTGCCAAATTTTTCATGTTCATACCTACTATTTGATAAACAACTATAATAATAATTTTATCACTATGATAGGATACTTTTGATGGTATTTTATTATGAATTTAAATTTATAAGATAAAAAGAAAATGTTGAAATAATCATTTAGAGTTTATGAATTTTTCAATTAGTTGGATTATCATAATTTAATAGTGATTTTGGGCTATTTCCTTTTGATTTATTCTTAATTTTAATACCAAAAATAGAAATAAAGATCAACAAAAATATTGGATTGCATATAAAGTTAACACATCAAAAAAATCACTAGTTAGACATTTGGCTACAATAGAAACTAGAGATAATAGTGGTAATTCTACAGTTTTATTGGCAAAAAATTAAAAAAAAAAGGAATAAGAGGGAAAAAGAATGAAAAAGTAATTTTAAAAGTCGTTCTAAGTATAAACATATCAAACAAGGAAATTTTATTAAAATATTTAAAGGTAGTATAGTCATTTTAAATGATAAGGGAGGTATGTATAATTTTTAAAATCTCAAGAGAGCTAAATGAAATTGTTAAAAACCTCAAGGGAGGTTTTTGAAATTATGCTATTATTTTTTGTATCATTTTTGTATCATCCCATTCATCTTAACAGCCAAATTAGACCGAAGGACTATGACTACATATTTTTATTAATTGAAGGACTACATTTACACACTTATTAGTTGGAAAATTAAAAGTACACAAAGTTGAAAGTTCAAGGATCACTGCAATTTTTTGCCCTATATTTTACACTCCTGGGATGGGTAGTGGGGACTGCACCTTGGATTGTCAACTCTGAGATATACCCATTAAGATACAGAGGCACAGGGGGTGGAATTGCAGCACTTTCTAATCGGGTTTCTGATCTGCTAGTGAGTGAGACGTTCTTGACATTGACAGAAGCACTTGGTTCCGGGGGCACCTTTCCTTCTGTTTGCTGTGGTCTCCTTTCTTGGACTTGTGGCCATTTTCTTCCTCATACCCGAAACCAAAGGTTTGCAATTGGAGGAGGCGGAGAACATGCTAGAGGGATACAAACCAAGTTTATGTTGCTGCAAAGTGAAGACAGAGGAAAACATCATCAAGAAAAGAGTTGATGACAGTGAAAAATGAGAGTCCAATTTCCAACTCTTTGTAGGGCGCAGATTATTCTGGCTAGCCGAAGGAGCTCGCATTCAGTTAATGTGTTAAACTTCTGTATCCACCGCTCAAATTTTCACTCTTACCAACCTAGATGTCAATTCGAGCAACATACTGGCAATCTGCCCCATAAAAAAGGAACAAAAAAGACTGGCAATTTGGATACTTCTTTTTATGTTTTCTATCTTTGGAATGTAAGAGCGAGAAGAATATAACATATGATTGATTGATTTCTAAGAAAAACTTCCAAAAAATAATTTGAGTGCCAACTGTCAAGATAATTGGTTTGTGTATGAAGACACACCAATACTTACTATGACTAAAGCAAATAAAAGGGAAACGCAACCAATATTCACCACATGAGGAAAAAGACAGTGCAAGAAAATATATTCGTTAAACAACACAGCAAATAACTGCCTGCCCTTATACGTTGCATCTAAGTTTCTATGACTCTCAAATGTACGTGGTAAGCAACAATATGAAAAATACTACTATTTTTACGATACCCTGGACCATCTAAGTGTGAGTAGTTTATAATTAATTGGATTCTAATGAGCATCTAAGATTACAGTAGAAAGATCAAACTTGGCTCATCAACTAATCAAAATCAAATTTTAACAGCGTTTTGCGTTCGATAATATTCAAACTCGATAAAAAACTCCTTGAAACTCGATTCGTCAAATAAACAAGTCAAACTAAAACAAAATTTTAAACTCGTTAACATAATCAAACAATCTTAAACACTAAAATGTTCAGATTGACTAGTTCCATTTATACCCCTATCTAAGATAAAGAGCGTTTTGAGTTGAAAAAAAATATTGGGGGCTAAAAATTTAGAATCTAGAAAATTTAGAGGTTAACGTAAAATTTTTCATTTTCCCTTCCTTTTTCTCTCGCCTATATCAAACTTTAGCAGTTCATTATATTACTCCCTTAGGCGCTATACCTACCACACATACAAACAGTAAAAATAGGGTAGCTAAGTAACAGCATCCAAACCTAAAGGGAACTATCAACGGCTATAACGAAAGCTCAATAGAAAGCGTCTGAAATGATCTCAAGTATCACAGCAAGTTCAAAGGTAAACTAACAAAATGTGCGGCAAAGAAAATGAAAGCGTTGCCAACTAAACTACTCCTTGAGGTTAACAACCAACAGTGGCCTACGTAAATCAAATAAACCAACAAAAAGCAGATAGTTTTCTACAGGATCCATGCATTGGTGAACCAGAATCAGTATTGTTACATGAGGCTTTTTCTCAAGTTTTGTTAATAAATACAGCATTTGTATATCATCACAGATAATTAGATACATATCCACGGCATTTGTTGGAGATGCCCTCAGCATATCAACAACGGTTTAGTACTCCCTCGAGTGCTTTGCCAGCTCAGCCTGTACACAGAATTTTAAATTAAGTGAGAACAAGACCAAGATCTTACTAAAAATCATATTAAATCCCCCATCAGTGAG